CCTTCGCGTTCGCGTACGAAGGTGAGTGAATATTTCCGAACCCTGCTAATTACATTAATGTTAATCTGTTTTCCTTTATCTTCATTTTTATTTTTATACTCTATCGATAACAAAATCGATAGTAACATGCAACAAAATATCGATAACAAAATCAATGACAAATTCGATAAAAATTTCGATAGTAAAATCGATTAGAAAACCGACAATAATCGATAGCAAAATCGATAACAAAATCGACAAAGATATCGATAACAAAATCGATATATAATAGATAACAAAGTCCATAACAAAATCGACAAAATTTTCGATAACAAAATCTATAAATGATCGATAACAAAAGCGACAAATATCGAATTTTATATCGATAAGTCCCGATCCCAAAATAGTTCCCATATTGAGCTCTTTGTCTATCTATATCCTTTTCTCTATAATTACCTTTATTTTAATCTCTCTTCCTCTGTCTTCATCTTTACTTTTATCATCCTCATCCTCATATTGTTTATTATTTTCTTCATCTACATATTGCCCTTCACCTTTGCCCTTATATATATAAGAAAAGTGTTTAAATTTACCTTGGTCTTCATTTTTGCCTTTATCTTTACGGAACTTTGTTTTTGTTTTTATTTTTACCTTTGCCTTTATCCTTTTTTTTATCTATGCTCGTACTCACCTTTACTTTCATTCTTCTATTGGTCTTTTTCTAAGTGTTATTCTTCAATTATTTATTAGCAATTTAAATTAAAACCATGTGCCTACACTCAAGAAGCACTTGTTTTCATCCCAACCATTTCCGTTGCACCATTTCCGTGTGCAATTTCCGTTGAATTTGCCAATTTACTCCCAACCAACCAACCGCCGCTAAAGAAGTTTCGCCACAAAAATTCAGAGTCAACTGAAAGAGAGGTTAGGCATTACCCTACTTGCTTAGAGCGGGCCGTAGACAACACCAGGGCCATTATTGGCGCTTACCTACGACCAGCAATTGAGCAGACAATGGACTGCTTCCTTAATGGTAGCTACCTAAGCCTGAGAAAAACTACAAGGATCTGGAAGAGTAAATTTGCGGTCGCCACATGCAAGCTCAATAAAGAAGCATTCTTCTTCTCAGAAGCGGGTGCAAGATGGGTTCACCTCGATACCTGCAAAATAACCAAAACCATGAGGCCATAATTGTACTCGAAAAGATCGAGGGGCTCCTTATGATGAGCAGATCCTTAGATATGGGTTTGCGGACAGGCCACTTCACTTTAAGGAAACAGGGAAAAAGATCCTGTGTGGTAGCACAAGGAATCGATTGGGGCCCTAAATGTGCCGGCATGCTAACCGACAAGTATGGCACCACCATAAATATTTTAGATTTTCCAAAAGAGGGTTTTCAGCATACTCCGCACTAGACTTAATGTTATTTAAATGTTTTGCAATTTTCTTAAATTTTTAATTTAAGACATTGAATACACTGACATTGTCTGCTAATTTCGACATTAATTCTTAATGTGCAACAACAAGAATGAAATCAATTGTTCCATTGTGCAAGTAGCTCCATGTATGCACATTAGGGTGCTCCAAAAATGCATGTGAAAAAGTAAAGTCGGAGTTTGTATGCTCTTACCCCCTACGATTGTTCTATACCGAAAATATATAGCCCTATTTTTTTTTTAAATCAAAAAATATAAATTCTAAACCATTTCAACGAAAAGTTGTTTTTTTCCATACAAAATACATGGAAAACTTTGAGCGCTTTAAACGACCTCTAAATATTTTTTCGATAAAGAACAATCCTTGGGAGTGAGAACATTAAAATTTCGACTTTTTTTATTTTGGACCACCCTAATGTGCATACCTAATTGTTTAAGAAAGTATGCATTTCAATGGTTGCACACAGCGACAATAAAGAAATTCGCTATAGAATTAAAATTGCCTTTTAAATTTTTTAATCCATAGCAATGCCAAGTGGCGTTTAATAAACAACATTCGAAAGTGATTATAGACAATTGAAAAGAGATACATATGCATGTGAATATATTTAGTGATATGTATGTACCGTCGACAAAGGCATGCAATTCGTACTTTGGAAAATAAATAGAAAAAAACGCGTATTTTTAAACAACGAAAAAATCAGTTCATATCGGTGTTGTTTTTACCATACAAACAAACAAACAATATCGCGCGCACTTATCGCGCCTAATCGCCCCTCGAGATCGGAATACTCTTACTTCTGCCACTGTCTCTTCGCCCTCCTCTGCCACGACCACAGTTACTGACACCGCCAGCGCCATTAAAACTGCTACTATTTTTGCCGTTGCTGCTAGGGTGCTGCCACCCCCAGCACCGCCAACCATTTCTCATACACGGCGGCGCGCACTAACGCCCTAACTGGCCGCGGGAGGTACCTATGTACATATGCAGTCGTCGCTAGCTAGATCATCAAATCAGTCAGTAGCCAGCGTCAAATTTCGCACATATGTATGCGCCAATTGTAGTATATCACAAAATTGAAATTCTCAAATACTTATTCCCCAGCAGTTGGACGATGCGGACGTACCGTAGCCACAGAGCCGTTATAAGCGTTACTAATATTACAAAATTATTCGCAAAAGTTTTAAAAAGGAAATGAACGCGCAGTGCAAAAGCAGACTCAACAGCTCCAACTTAGCGGTGATTTGTGAAAATTCAGTGTGAATTCAGTGTAACCTGAGTGCGAAAGTGTGGCAAGCAACGCAGCAAGCGAAACACGTTCGAAAGTTTACTTTTAGTATATTTTTTTTGTAAATTTTTGAATCAATACAGTTTATGTGATTTTCTTATAAAGCACGCGTCAAACAACTTTTAACTTTAACTAAGTGTAAACGCATTGAACTGGCAAAACGCATAAGAACGTATGCTCGAACACCCTTTAGGGGAATGCCGCATGCATGAAGGCATGGAGATCACTTTGAGCCACTAATGCTGCTACTTAATACAAGTATCCATCCACTCATATTGAGCTGACAATTTCGTGGCAAAGCTATTCGCAAATAACTTTTTCGTTCACGTACAGAGTTTCCTTCTTGGCAATCCGTCTCTGCTTGTATAAGTTGAGCACCGCATCCTTGACTGCGTCGCTGCTTGGATTCAAATTCTTTTTAGTATTTTTTACTTTTGGTATACATATCCGTTGTGACACAAGATGCATTCGACTGCTAGCAAAGCGTCAGGATTCATTGGCCTGATGATTGTGCAAATAATTTTACTTGCACTCTTCTGGTTGTTCGTGCGCTACAGCGATGAAGCATTGCCAAGCGATGAAGGCAAAGTATTAGGCGAACAACACGTTTCCAAATATCCGCGTGAGTATTCTGACAAAGTGTATCTACTGGCTCTTAATGTCCTTTAGCCCTAGTTATAAGTGAATAAGTGATTGAAATAGAAATAGAAATATTTAGTGGTGCGACAGTCGAAAGCATTTTATAAAAGTAATACACTCAACGAAAATTCTTACCATATTTGGGGGGGAGATTTACAATGGAAGATGGCTGTACGATTGAGTGTTTATTTTTATGTGCTTCTTTATCTCACCATTTTATGCTCTTGTGCATGTCAATAAACTGTGAAATTGTCCTTCAGAGTCAATTGACTATAGCCTATCTAGAATTCTTCTATTTTGTGGACCTATCCAGAGTCGTCCTTGGAGGAGCGGCCAACAAACTTACAATTCCATTACAATTTTTTATACATTTTTTGCTGGTTTTACTTTATTAGGGTGTTTGAGGGGAATTCATAAAAATCATTCCTAATCTGGTACTCTCAGAAATTTATTCAATAGTTCCTCAAATACTTCCCCAAGGATCTCTTTGGACAGGTCTGACAAATTTCTCAAGAACTTTTTTTCTCTATATTCTCATCAAGATACTAGCGCTTTTAAAGAAATAATCCCTCTTCTTTCTATGAAAAGTTTAGAAAATCATCGAGAACTCAAGGATATACAATTAAGCTTGGTAACCCTGAATATGGAAAATAAGCAATTCAAAACAAATTCTTAAACCTAAAACCGATTTAGACTTGTAAGGTATAATTTTTATTTCTTTGATATTAAACTCATTCAAAGGATAAAAGAGAAAGGTAGGATGAACGAGCGTCATTCCAAGTTGAACTAGGATGTGTTGGTATTTGACAAAAAATAAATAAATTGGGACATGAATACAAATAATGGGAAAATACCTTTCTACTGAGACTCCTTAAGGCTAAATCGGAATAGTTTTGGCCCAGTTATTCAAGTTTTTCGTAAATCAATCTTTAAGCAAAAAATTGAAAAACAGCATCAAAAATCTCATTATTACAATTCTGTTGAAAAGATTTTCAAATATTTTTACCCACATTTTGTAAATTCAATCTGTTTTGTCATCTGAGGGAATTTTTTTCAAAAAGTTCTTTAAGAAACTATTTTTATTCATAAAAACTCCATTTTTGGAGGCATTATCAAATCGGTCCAGCTCACGTATATCTTAATATTTGTCCGAAATATTTTTGTGGACGTCTTCAAATAAATTTTTTTTTGGCGATGCAGTCTAATGTACATGAGTATTATGGCATTCGTAAATATTTACCTTATCACCAATATCAACTGAAACCATAAGTCTGTATGTTTCAAATACAATTTTGGAATTAGTCAAAACTGAGAGGAGCAACAATTTAACAATTAATAATTAAAACCCCAAATAGTTTATGATATATGTACTACAAGTAAACATAACAACAAAATTAAAATTTTTATACAAATGAATTACGAGTTTGTTAATACATACACACATAGGTAGATAAAGTTGTGGATCGAATAAAAAATTAAAACTGATAACACCATTTATACACTCAGAAATTAGTTTAGATAGGCCATAACTAAATCTCATTTCAGCAACTAATGAAATATGAAGTATATTCGCCAATTTGGTCAAATTGATTTCAACGAGTTGATAGTATTTCTGAATTATGGAATATGACGTTAACGCATGGTTGGATTGAGGACTGGTTCGTCTGGCTTGAGAAAAACGTTGACTGCCCTTGATTTTAAGATGGCCACTCGCTGGTACGAGGTTAATATTAAAAAAAAAAAAAACAGCGTAGGTGAGCAAAAGCAGATAGTTTTGATGCCAGCCTGTGATTTTTGGAAGGATCATGGAGAATTCGTTTTGAACCCAAAAAATCAAAAACAAAAAAATTTAAAGCTTTTTCATTACTTAACGGCTTCTGTTTTGGTACCGCTAAATTTACGGAAATTCCTTTTAGTGCATAGTTGAATGTTATTGCTATTCCAGATTCAAACAAAAACATGCGGGTGCTTGTCAAGCCTAAGTCAATTGTACTAAAAATCAGAATAGAAACTGAAAAAGCTCAATGCCATTTCCTTACTTTTCAAAATTAACGTCTTAATCCATTTCCTACACAAGTTTGAAACGAACTGCAACAAATCTCATTGCTGTTAAACGGGTTGTTTATAATACAAATATCGTTACAATTTTCTAAAATTCCCAAAAATTAAATCACAAAAATTTGCATATCTCTCAACAACATTTCTGCTGTCAATCATACGAATATCTATTAGCTCACATTCTCACCCATATAAAATGTTTGAGTAGCAGTCAAATGATTTTGCAATGTGCATACATATGCATACACATGCGCACCTATTTCTGTGTGTTGTAAAATATATATGGGGACTCTTATGAGCATAATATCGAATGTCATTAAGTGTAATCAACGCAGTGTTTCGTTTATCTATGGTGGGAACATTTTATTTTCAGGCGGCAATGTAGCAAAGCTCGTATGAAATATGGTTGTAACAAACAACACGTATTTACGTAGTACTACTTGTGATCATTGACGCCTGCAGGCTCAAAATTTTTGACGTCTCGCATATGTTTGGATACAAGTTGTCAATCAAAATTTTTTGCAAGATATGAATACTATACTCGTACAAGCAAATAACAAAAACCGAAATGAAAAGAAAAAGGGTAGTGGGAAAAAGTTTTTACATATTTTCTGTGCGCAGTAGTGCATATACTTATTTGATATGTACATATGTATGTATATCTGTGCATAATACGCAAGAGTAGGTACTTTTTGCCAAAGGCTTTAATTGCTGATTGTATCAGTGCAAGCTGTCTTTGAAATGAAAAATTGTTCCGGCAATAATTCGAAGTTATATAAGCTGTTATGAGCTTTTAAATTTAGAAAGTTCTCTGCATAATATTGATAAAAAAAAATTGTGATTTCTTTGAAGAGCAAGATGCAATATGCAGCGGTTGAGATAAAGAAATCCTATTCATCACATTAAATTACTTATTTCACCTTCGCCCTTCAGAAATACTTTTGTTACTCATACGACATGTAGTACTTATGTAGGTACAAGGAATGATGATCCCGGGATCCCGGGATTTTTCCAGTAAAAAAAGTTAAAGGCAAATAATTATCAAGCTTATTAAAATATCACAACAATATGGTCGTCAAACTCAAAGGGTTCAAAAACGATTTATTTCAAAGATGGTTGCCACCTGTTCAAAAAGCTCATATCAATTCAAATATCAAATTAAACGAAAAATTTTAATATGTATACAAAACGAGAGAGGTTTTAGAAAGATTTATTTTTAAAATATTTGTAAATGAGGCTGCCACCTGTTTAGAAATTCTAGATCAAATTAGTTTACATGTTAAGCCAAATATTTTGTTATGGGTACCCAACGAGAGATTTGTAAGAAAGCTTTATTTAGAATATATTTTTGAATAGGGCTGCCACCTAAATAAAAATGTTGATAAAATATTTTATTATGGGTATCAAACGAGAGAGGTTTTGAGAAAGCTGTATCATTTTCGAAATAATTATTGACGATGGTGGCAATCACCATTTAAGGAATTTAAAATCAATTTAACTGAAAAGTAAAATGAAATCCGAATAAACTTATAAATGCGAAAGTGTGTGAATGCCAAACAAATAAGGTCTAAGAAAGCTTTAAAATTTTAATTTAAATTTTAAATGATTTTAAAAGAGCCGCCACCTGTTTCAAAAATTAACCTTTTTTTAAATTCCACAGAATTTTTTCTTTTGATTGATACTTATATTGTTATTCTACAATGCACCAAATCTTTTAAATATTTTTTTTATGCCATCATATCCTAGAAATTTCAAAGTCCTTTAAAAAACGAAATTCTAACGTCACAGAGAAAAATTAAAAACGCAGTTATACTATATTTGGCTCCTAGTTCTGTGAATATATTGATTTTTTCGTGTGTTTAAAAAATGTTTGGTTTTTGTCGCACGGTGTTATCAGAGTAGATTATACCTCCTCTAGTTGCTAGCTGTTCTAGCCATGTCCTGCACTCGTGAATGCAAGAATCGCAAGCTTTGAAATGTTTCCTCAATCCTTTCTCAGATTTATTCTTAATCATTTCCCGTAATACCACTGTGTCCGGGACCCAGTACAGAATGGCTATATGTTTTCGTATAGATTGTCGGGATCGGTGGCATTTCTGAATGCATACCAGGTCAGTTCTTACCGACCCCAGCTCGTACAAAGCAGCTTAACGAGGTGCTGTTTTAATTGGGCTAGGTCCGTTGCATATGCGCCAGCCTGGCTTACAATGCAGTACTCCAGGAATCTCAAGCAAGGTTTATTGGAGCAGACGCCAAGAGATTTTCCTCAGTCGCTCGCCGACTATCCAAACCTGAGGCAGACACCTGAATATGTGGTCAGCTGTGCTATAGTGCGTCGATCACAAGAGCCTGCTGTCACCACTGCAGCGAGTACAAAATAATAAAAAAATTACATACTTTTATTGTCAATGTCATAAAAAATTTAACATGCTTTTTAAAAATATTGCCAACAGAATTCAACATCAAATTAAAGCATTTTTATATTAGCCTTTAATTATTAACAGACACATACAAACATACAGTACATTTAATATAGCTGTGTGTGTGTGTGCGGGTGAGCTTAGTTTATTTACAGTTAATTATTGAAAGCTTCACGCGCGCTTGTGTATTTACATAAATCCGCCAATGCAAATACATACGATGAATATCCCACACGCTTACTGATAGCCAAGATAAACTCTGCCATTAATCTTAATACAATTGGCTTTTGACAATGCAATTGCAGCAGCCTAATTGAAGCAATTAGACGAAATTAATATGCATGGCCCACAAAGCATATAGCTGAGCAACATACATGCATACTTTTGCACCCACATATGAACATGTTTGTATGTATGTATATATACATATGTACAAGCATATGTATCGTGTTTGTTAATCAAAGGAAATGTAAGCAAGTGCGTGCTTAGTTTTTTTGTATAAACACGCGCTTCATACAGCAAATGAATACATACTATGTATACATATGTACATACATATATGGCAATTATGCCTCATATTTATCTATGTATGTATGTTGAAGCATCTTTAACTTCAATTAATAAACGATAAATATGCTTAATAAACTGATGACAGCTTGAGGATGAGTGGCTGTGTATTTTTTTTGCATAGTCATAATCCAGCCTTTAATTGGATTTTATTTTATGAGCAAGCATTTAATTCTGCACTCTAGGTAAGCGCTTTAATGGTGTAAAATTAAAAATAAAATTAAACAGTTAAAATTCCCCGCAAGAGGCAGCTCATTCCCCGATTCCCCGCAACGAGACAAATTCCCCGCAAGTTGGCATCGCTGATTCCAAATGCAAATTTGAAAATTTTGTTATCGGTCACAAAAAAATGTTGGCAATATTTCAGCCCTCTACCTCTATTTTCAGTGAGCAAAAATTAGGGTTTTCAATAAAAAAAAAAAATAGTTTTCCGCTAATTTTTTTATACCCAATTAAATATAACAAATAAATAAGACAAACCTTGTAGTCTATTCATTGGCAATTTTTTTTTGAAGGTGTCGCTCATTTTCTTTAATTAAAAAAAAACCGTCGAACGAATTTTGTATGAAGGCAAATAACTGACACCGTCAACAAAAAAAAAACTTCCAAAAATCAACAGTAAGTGATAGCTCCTAGAAACTTGCATTTAGCCCCTCTGTTATCATTATGCATGCCACCACCAGAACCTTGGTTAACTTATTCCGGATTATAGGCGTATCCAGGGACGCCACTAGACGGCGAAACCACTGTGGACATCCAGAATAATGCCTAGATAACTTAATTCTTCCGAGAGAATGACAGCAGCATTAATTAACCACGGGAAGCTGGATCCGGACGATTCACGTTTTCTTTCAACAGCACACCCCTTTTATCCTCAGTATTCACAGTTTTCTACTTGGTCATTTAGTATTCATTAATTTTTTATAAAAATATAGCATATTCTTAGTGTAGATCCGATTTTAAAATTTTATAACAATTTAAATAAAATTTTAACAAAGTTATGCGCTATCCTAATGACCTGCAGTGAATAAATTAATTATACTTAAAAAAATTTTTTTTTCTTGCCGGTGCTGCGCTAATAAGGCGAACTTAGCGCAGTGGGTAGACCATTTCCTTTGTAAGCGGGGGTCGCTGTGTCTTATCCTAGTGACCGCGATGAAGAAGTCTGATGAGGAGATGTGATGATCTCTGAAATAGCAGCTATAACTTCTACCATTTATAAACGATTGTTGTTTTTCCACAACAATTTTTCACATAAAACGGCCTCAAGCTCAAAAAAATTGTTTTATATAATTTATTAGGCCAAAAAATAGCCATTGTGATTTTTCTCAATTTTTTTCTTTGAGATGGCATATTTTCAAAAACTATTTTTTTTTTGACAAAAATTTTTCAAGAAAAAAAAAATTTTTTAATATTTATTTTCATAGAGAATGTTGATGTGTGTATGCGTAAGTTTTTTTAAATTTTTTCGTCGCCCCGTTCTCGAGATATTTGGAAAACTATTAAATCAATTTGTTTTTGTTTTTGTGTTGTAAAATTTTTAAAATTGTATTAATCAAGCTCAAGTTTCATATTTATTTATTATTTAAGTTTATGCATCAACCCTAAAAATTTGAAACATATCAAAAACATGAAGTGTGAACCCCGTCCGTTTTGATATGGCACGCCCCATAAATGTATATTATATTTGAGAATTAATTCCAGAAAAGCGCAAATTTGTTTGTGCAAAAAAGGAATTTTATGAAAAAGGAAGAATTGTGAAACATTTAGATTACTTCAGTAGAAAAGTGTTATTAAAAATGCCGTAAAATCTGTTCAGAATTTTTGGAACAACTATAGCCCATTTCCACCAACAGCTTAACTGCAGTTAGATGTCCAGGTAAGTGCAAATAGCATTAAGATGTGGCGATCAGCAAAGGATCTGTGATCTCCTTTTTCCAACAGGCATAAACGGCAGTTAAGGCTTGGTGGAAATGAACTATAAATGTGTCTTATAATAAAAATTTAATCGATTTAAGTCATCGAATTTCAATTTTTTTTTATTTCTGTATTTACAGATTTCCAAGATGTACAGGTGATGATCTACATTGGCTTCGGCTTTTTAATGACATTCTTGCGCAAATATGGTTATAGTGCAACTGGATATACATTATTCATGACCGCGCTGGTTATACAGTGGTGTATTCTGGTTAAAGGATTCTTTCACATGGAAGATGGGAAAATAGGGTAATGATAAACATTTAAAAAAAAAATATGCTGGTATTTGAAACAAAATAATTTATAAAACTAGTGCAAGCAGCGGTTTTCGTATTCAAGGCTAAAAATAAAATACAAAACAAAAAAACCAAAAATCTTTTAGAGACAATAACCATATTAGTTTGAGTTAAAGCCTATAATTTGATTAGCTACATATGTATCTATGTACATAATTATGTATGAGTGTATAATATTTTCATCACCAACAAGTGGTAGCATCTAACTATGTAGCAGAGTATTCCACCAATCATCAATTGCATAAAAGCATAACTAATTAAACAACAACAATAATAACCCAGCACTGGCTAAATTCCTGCGGCAATTTAAATAAATGAAATGAAGCAAAAAGAAAATAAATTCGTTGGAAAATCTCTAGATAATACATGGCTAGAGATACATAGAAAGCCAGCTGAGCGAAGGCTAACGAACGTGCACAACAGAAAAACAAAAGCTGTTGTTGCATTGCATTAGAGAACATCAAGTTAGTTGAAAAAGGAAAGAGAAGCGAAATAAAAGCAAAAACAAAAAAATTATATGGCAGACACTGTATTTTGCTAACCACAACAAGGATATAAGGACACAAGTGCACAGCTTGATGCAGCAAAAAATGCAAAGAAAAAATCGCTTGTAGTTATGGCTTAACTTGTGTAGATAACTAAAAGAGAGACACGCAAACAAGCGCAGAACAGAAAGTACTAAGACGCAGCATTAAGCCGCAACTGCAGACGCAATTGCATTTTCTGCTATCTCTATGCGATCTATGTAAGTAGGTACATATGTATGTTTGTGTGTGTGTGTATTTATGCACCTACAACACAAAGCGCTTTGTCTTCATACACGCCAAAGCTGCAATCTGTTGATTTAACTTCAACAGAGCGAACACGGGCACGCGTACCCGTTGTGCAGGTGTCTAGCAAGCACCTTTCAACTGTTGCTGTTATCGCATTATACACGTGCATATGTATGTACATATGTATGTATGTAGCTGTATACTTGTTTGTACAATGCACTGTCTATCAGTGGTTTCATCTACTCAGCGCTGCTGCAGGCTTATAGCGACATAGCTACCATAGTCTTCATTTCTCTTCTCAGCCAACATATTAAATTTGCTTGCATCCTTTATATCCGGCTACATCTCAATCATGATGTGCCGCGAGCGTAAAAGTCTCAACTCTGACATGTTTTTCACATTTTTCTTGTTATGAACCACTCAATTCTTTTTCCATTATTCTTTGTTTAATATTTCTATACATTTATTTTGAATGTTTTCCCGCATAATTTGTTTTTTTTTTTTTGTTTTTTTCGTTGCAGCTTATCGCTGGTGAGTATAATTGATGCAGATATTGCAGCTGCTGTTCCATTGATTAGTATGGGTGCCTTATTGGGTCGTACCACACCAATTCAATTGCTATTCATGGCTCTCATAGAAATTGTGCTGTTCGCGGCAAACGAATATGTCGCTTTGAATATATTTAGTGTAAGTATGCATTGATAAATTCATACGACTACTATGTCTAAACTGGGACAAAATTAAACCGAACTGATGGACGATGGAGCTCTCGGAGCTCAGAAGACATATTTTTAATAAAGCTAGGAAGATTATTTAGATACACTACGATTAGGAACTCTACAAGGTCGGACTCGATGCCTCTAAGTCCGCGGTAAGAAAGGCCAAACGCGAGTATATGGGGAACTCTGCAAAAGCTCGCGATTCACGCGCATCCTTGTAAAGAATTATGTTCCCTTAAAATTCTTGAAGATGGCGACCGGCGAAGAAGCATCGCTTTAACTACTCCTCGATGGCGATTTCTCAGAAAAGTCTGCACCGTTTGAATATAGCAGTGCTGCGTTGAGGACTGCGCGGTCCTTATCTAGGCGATTGACTCTTTTAAGCCCTTCAAATCTCCGGGACTAGATGGCATTATCACTGCATAACTGAGAGGGGTTGTCGAGGTGTCCTTCCCTTGGCGATATAAGGTGCCCATTGCTAAGCTTCTCTCGATCGGTGGCGTTCTACTTGGCTCTCTGCTAAACAATCAAGGCTCTTAAGTTACGTGATGATAAGACCGAATCTCTACCTCTATAGGATTACTATCAAATCAAAGGACACAGTTAAACATCATGGCTTTGAAATCATCTCTTAGGAAGAAGTTTCTGTCGTAATCCGTGACCTACTCCTGATTATATGTGCGAAAACTCCGGTATGCAAGGTTGCGAAGTCCTTCGACCGGTATAGACTGCAGAAGTTCAAGGGAAATCCTGCAGCTGGCGAAGCGCCAACTCTCGCGCTGTTTGGTGTTCTGACAGTGTACAGTAAAACAGGGACACATGCGGTACCACTCAATATCGTTTAGGAGCATTGTTGTGCATTACTTCTTTATTAGCTGTCCTGCTTTCAGCAACTCTCGCGGGGAACTCTCTACAGTAGGCATCAGCTGAGTGGATATCCATGGAAAAATCTATTAAGTGGTGACATAATGAAAACCATATGAAATTTTTAAGTGTACCACTCGCAATGAAACTTAACTAATTCTTTGAAGGGATATTCAAGTGGGAGACAGCAGTTGGAAGTAGCCATTAGTAAACTTTTAAACGGTGGGTTGAAAGTTTCGCGGACAGATCGAAGTAGGGTTCTTCTTACGAGAACATGTAGGGTAATTCCTCACGGAATACCTGTTCCCTAGTAAGATTGAATTAAGCTACATGGTGGATTAGGAGGCTAGGAAGGTTATTATCGCGAAGACCTAGCCGAGGAAGGGAAATAAGTATACAGGTAGAGACTATTCTTTAACTACCTGTGGACCAAATTTAGATACCACAAAACACACCTTTTATGGTTTAAGTGTGTGCGATAACACCGTGTTGTAAAAACAAAAATATAATAAGGAAACTAGGGGTCAAATATATGTAGTAGAACTGCGTTTTTGGTTTGTATATGAGATATGATTATTTCAAATTTTTTTTTTTTTAATTCAGTGCAACGTGGAATAACAACATGGGTAACAAAAGAAATAGAAAATTCTGTTGAAATAAAAAAATTAAATTTTTTTTGGTTCACAAGGACGAATAGGTATTGAATATGCCCTTTTGATTAATATTTTTTACCCTTAACTGGTAAAGTTAAAAAAAATAAATTGGAGGCTATGATTGTGTATATGTATGTTGGCCCTTGACGTATAATTTTTTTTTTTTAAATAAATATTAGAAATTTTCAAGAATACTTAAGGATACAATTTTAAAAGGTCCTTTCAATACCAATTCGTCCATGAGCACCAAAAAAGTTAATTCCTTCAAATTCTACAGAATGTCCTCTTCCATTTTTTTCCCGTATTTACAGTGAATGTTTTAAATCGTTTTTCCACATTTCATATGAAATGAGACTCGACAAGCTTATTCCCCTTAGTCCACTGTTACCAGTACCCTTGCTACTAGCCAAAAATTTGTGCACTTTTATTTAAATTTTGTGATGCTTTGTTAAGTAGTTAAATAGCGCAAGTATAGTCATTTTTCGAGTTGCTTAAAGTCATTGAAGTTCGTGTTTGTTTTAAAAGCACTTACACATACCAACAAGCCAGATGTAATTTCATTATAAAAAATGAACAAATAATAAGAGAAAAGCTCATTAATTATTTTACCTTTGCTTAAGTTGCAACACTTTAAAAACTTCGCTGTTAGACCTTGTATAGGAAAATATAGTTAACAAGTAAGAAAGTCTAAGTTCGGGCGGGGCCGAACATTAAATACCCGGCGCAAGTATTACATATATGCCTTTTCACCTTTCCGAAAGCTACCGCTACATGGTAAGCCGGGGTGTATCAATTTTGAATAAATTAGAGTCCTTAAATTTCGAAATATTGACGTTTCGAGCATTTCTAAAATTTACCGTTATATGAAAAGCCGTGATTTTAGTCCGATTTCAATAATTTTGAACGTTTTGCTTTTATGTGGCAAGCACAATACCATACCGAGTTTGGTACAAATTGGTAGAACGGTTGCCGAGATACATATATGTGATCATAAGTGGGCGGTGCCACGCCCATTTTCCAAAATGTTATGATAAGCGTATTTCCTGATAAAGAATTGTTGCAAGCATCAATTTTGAATAAATTAGCTTCAATATTTACGGATTTATCGAAGATTTCGTATTTCTCCAAATTACCGTTATATGGGAGGTAGGCGTGGTTATTGTCCGATTTTTCCCATTTTCAATACCATCCGTCCTACGCCCGAAAGAAGTACACGTACCAAGTTTCGTTAAGATATCTTAATTTTTACTCGAGTTATCGTGTGCACAGACGGACGGACGGACGGACAGACAGTCACCGCTTAATCGATTTCCATATTCATCCTGATCATTTATGTATACATTTGTCTATATCTATCTCGATTCGTTTTGCCTGTTACAAACAACCGTTATGTGAACAAAGTTATAATACCCTTGTGCACAACTGCGCTCGGGTATAAAAATACATACATATATACATGTATATGTAGTACTAGTATATTTATAAATATGTTTGCAGCGCAAAGCCTCGACACAAAGTACCTGTTTTAAATCCGATTAACTGAACGCCTCTTAACTTGTGTATGAGTATAGCACACATAAACAAATACATACATATATATGTACATATGTACTAAAATTATATGTATGTAAAGCACAACTAGAATAAAGCAAGAAGTACATAGCTGTGTATGTATGTATAAAACCGAATGGGAAATACGGCTGATTTTGAGACTCGTGTCCACAAACCACAAAAACAAATTACTTTACGTATTGAAAAGAGTTTGTGTATAAAAAAAATATGTAGATATCGCTCCAGATATCGGTACTAAGCATATTCATTTTGATAAACAATTTCAAGCATTTATAATCTGACACACTCTAAACTATTGAATATGACGGGCGCTCAAAGCGGCAGCTTATCGCTACCTAAAGGTGAAAAGGTGCAAAGTCCATTTTTTTTTTTAATTATTCAGTAAAGACGAAAATTCGATGTTGTTTGGCATTATCTGTCATTCTGTAGATCTCAAACTAAATTTTGAAAAAAGTGGACTTGGCAACTTTTCACCTTTAGCTAGCGTTATGATTAGTGCACGAAAACCCCAAAGGAAATGATTTTAAAGAACAGAACCTTTTTTTGTTACCAAAATATTAGAAGGAATTTCTGGCCACACTTCCACCCACTATGAATTGTATAGGCAATTGTTTCGGGTATTGGTGCTCCCAACGAATCGAATTTCTGCTTAATTTATGAAAATTTTTTTTTGCTGACAATAGCATGCGGATTTCCCATACCAAGTATGTTCGACAATTTTTTTATTTGAGAAAAAGTGTGTAACACCGTCAGCTAAAAAAATTATCAAAAATCAAAGCGATTTTTTTGGCAACTTGAAACTTGCTTTACATCAAACTACAATTTATTGGGCAACAAAACTGCATACTCAAAATATTTCTAGAGGGTAGTCTAAAAAGGTATAAAAAACAATTATTTGAGAGATTTTTCGAAACTTCAAGGCTCTTGATCGAAAAAACGGTTTAACACAGTTCAATATGTTCATGTTAATCAACTTTTTTCGCGCTATTCGAATTTCGTAATCGAAAAATTGATAGTATAAACTATAGTCACATTGGTACATACATTTAGTTGAGAAAATCTTGGACTTTTCGGTCAGCCAACATTGAGATGACGGGTTCAAAGGTTCAAAATCAATGGTACGATTCAGAGGTGATCCTAATGCTAAATTTCCGAATTCGTAATAAGAGGTAATGGACTGAAAACACTGAGCCTCACTGCTTAAACTGAGCCTCAGAATTTGATTGCATTTTTTCTTGAGATAATTCGTCAATATAATTTTTTTCTTGGAACGTTTCTAAGGAACGGAGATTTTCAGCTACTATCGTGGATGCTTACAGAGTCAATGACCATTAATTTTTCAAAACTTAAGTTCTTATTTAAACACTTCAGCTTCCATTTTCCAATAACACAGGCCGACAAAATGTTCTAATCACAAAATAGACTATCCTTTATTGAAGGGTTTTGACGCACTGGATCCGAAGCTACAGTCATAATAGCTTTCACATCTGATCTTGTTTCAGCGGTCAGATTTAATATTTCAATATCCTCAAAAGATATCTTAAGATCAGCAAGATAGCTGCGAAAGGTATCAACAATCGACTTCAGTAGCAATAGCAAAGCAATTTTTAAACGGAGGCCTGTTACAATAGATCGTCCTTAATCACAGTGGCTAGGTGCCTTATTCACTCTTCTAAATAATAATCTAGTAATGTGATAACTATAACATGACGCTTGAAGCATGGTACAAATAACTCATTACTCTAAGTTTTGCGGTTAATATGCAGATTATTTATATCTATACTAATATATATTTTGAAAGCCGTTTTTTTAGTGTTCGCAAGGCTCGAGATTGGCTGAACCGATTTTTTTGAAACTTCAGACACCTGCCGCACGTGTCCCAAGGATGGTTGTAGGCTAAAAAAAAATTCTATATGTAAAGGGGGCGTGGCACCTCCAACACAAACCGAATTTTTTCATAGTGCTTATCTCTGGAAGTATTCATGTTAGAGGTCTGGAACTTCGTATGGAGATATACGAAATCAATCGCATAACCTTGGAGAAAAATTGGAGCTATTAATAATTTTAGGGTTTTTACTTGGCAGCAAACTAAAATACTCCTTCACATACATATTAAAAAAAAAGAATTACTAAAACTGCATTGAGTTTATTATTTCCTACAGGGAAAACATTCTATATACATAGCAATAAACGTATACTCATTCAAACTTGTACATATGTATTTATTTCGACTTTTTTTACAACTAAATAGTGAGTGCAAAAGCGAAGTGTGCGTAGTTTGTTGAAAAATAGCCAAAGCCCTTCTTCAAAAGCGCTTTGCCACACAAAGCTGACGACCAGCTGCTACTTACCAAAGATGCAGTACTCTTTTTTTATATTTATTTATTAAATATGCAGCTGTTTTTACTCGCTGGCTGTAAACACTTTTTTTCCAAAAGAAATAAATACTTATTTACTCTTTTATTTTTCTTTTTTATTTTTCCTATTTCTCCATCTTCACCCACGCACAGATCTGTGATGTTGGTGGTTCAATTACAGTGCATGCCTTCGGTGCATACTTTGGCTTGGCTGTTAGTCTAATGTTGCGCCCGGGCAAGGACCAAAACGAAGCAGGCAAATACGAAGGAGCCAATTATGCATCGGACATCTTTGCCATGGTCGGTACATTGTTCCTGTATGTGTATTGGCCAAGCTTTAATTCAGTGTTGGCCGATGGCAATGGCCAAGAGCGTGCCATACTCAACACGTATTTATCATTAGCAGCGGCAACAGGTAAGCAACTAAAGCACACGAAAGCAACAAAAGCACCAATAATACCGACAACAACGACAACACCGACAAATGTGAGAGCATACACGACACAACACAACACAACACGAACAATGGCCAATGCACAGTGGATCCTTCTCATAGAGATGGCGGCCAAAAATAGAAGGAGGTTACCTAGAGCAACGAAATTTTGCAGGCTTACTTTTAAAACAAAAAATAAATTATCCACAAAAACTCGAAAAAATTGGACCAAGGACACGCCCACCTCCCATATATCCTTAAATTTAA